CAGTATTCCAATATCTCAGGCTGCCAGAAAGAAGAGGGAGTCAAGCTATTCTCTAAAGCACCTGAAGGCAGGACAAGAAGCAATGGATGGAAACTAATCAAGGAGAGAAGCAACCTAGAACTAAGGAGAAACTTCCTGACAGAACAATTGACCAGTGGAACAACCTGCCTCCAAGAGCGGTGAATGCCTCAACACTGGAAGTTTTTAAGAAGGGACTGGACAGCCATTTGTCTGAAATAGTATAGGGTTTCCCGCCTGAGCAAGGGGTTGGACTAGATGATCTCCAAGGTCCCTTCCAACATTGCAGTAGTGGTAGTAGTAGTAGTAGTAGTAGTAGTAGTAGTTGTTATTATTATTATTATTATTATTATTATTATTATTATTATTATTACTGTGCTTATAACATATTTATTGTTTGTCTCTGTCTCTGTCTCTCTCTCTATCTATCTATCTATCTATCTATCTATCTATCTATCTATCTATCTACCTCTTTCATCCAGGAATAATTAATCTGCATGATTGACAATATATGAAAACTCAGTACAAAATAAAATGATGACAATTGATATAAAACCTAATTTACAGTTTCTAACCCAAATTGTCTCCCATGTATCTAATAGAATCGGCTCTTGAATATTTTCTGCCCATTTTACCATACAATCTTTAACTAATTCTGTTTCAGAATCCAATTCTACTAAGATATTATAAATTCTCTTTCTATGAGCTAGAGTTTGATCTTTAATCTGTTTTATCAAATTCGCATCCTCTAAAGTAATGCCAACCTTTTGATCTAAATTCTACCTAACTAACAATTGATTATATTGAAACCAAGAGTATACAATATTTTTTTGCTTCAACTCAGCTAAAGATTTTAATTGCCAATCCTTCCCTATCAAATCAAGTAATTCCTTATAAGAAATCCTATCCAAATTCACTCCTCTAGTTACCCCCTCTATCACGTGTCCAGGAATCCCCCAAATTGGAATTTTATAATTTAACCTATAATGATACTTCTTCTAGACACGTAGTAAAGCATTTCTTAAAATGTGAGATTTAAAAGCCTGATCTACTTTTTTATTATAAATTAGATATGCGTGCCAACCATATAATAAATCCCATCCTTCAAGAGAAAGAATATTTTTGTTTGTTAAGTTGAGCCAATCACTAATCAATGTTAAAGCCATCGCATCATAATACAATTTTAGATTAGGCGCCTTAAGTCCTCCTCTTTCCCGTGCATCTTGTATAATCTTAAACTTAACTCTTGGTTTTTTTTCCCTGCCCAAATAAACTTGTTAATACCTTTCTGCCATTCCTCCAAGTTAGCATCTTTTTTCAAAATAGGTATCATTTGAAACAAAAAGAGAAACTTTGGAAGAATATTCATTTTGACTGCCGAGATTCTCCCCAGTAAAGATAACTGTAATTTTTTCCAATCATCTAAATCCTTTTGCACTTTTACCCATAATGTCTCATAATTATTCTTATACAATTTAACATTAGAAGCTGTAATATATATCGTATTTTCCGGCATATAAGATGACTTTCTAAACCATGAAAATCTCAAAAGTTGGGGGTCGTCTTATACACCCAGTTGTCTTATATGTCGTAAAATACCCGCATGTGCGTCGGAGGCCAGCCGGCCGGACTGGGAGGGTAGAAGTGGTGCCTTCCAAGTGGGAGTTAGCGCTCCAGCCATGCCCCTTTTGCATGTGATGGGCTGTGCAGCGTGGAAAGGGGCTCCTGTGACCCCACCGCTGCGATGGCGCTCAGGAGGCTGGAGGGTGGGCAGGTCCCGGGGGGCAGCTGGGAAAGGGTAAGAGGCGCTGGGATGAGGATGGGGGACTCCAGGTTGGCGGGTGTGAGAGTGCAGCCGGTAGCTCTGATGTGCCGCCACTTGGCTCTCCACCAGGCTCTCTGCCAGAGCCTCCCCCCTCTCCGGGCAATTGTGCGGAGCTGATTGTGCTTCCTTGGCAGCGCCTCCCCCCTTCAATCTCTCTCTCCTTCCTTCCTTCCTTCCTTTCCCCTTCAATCTTCCTTCCTTCCATCTCCATCCCTTCCCCTTCAATCTATCTCCTTCCTTCCTTCCTTCCCCCTTCAATCTCCTTCTCCATCTCTTTCCTTTCTCCTTCAATCTCCTTCCTTCTCCATGTCCTTCCTTTTCCCTTCAATCTTCCTTCCTTCTTTCCTTCTATCTCTATCCCTTCCCCTTCAATCTCTCTCCTTCCTTCCTTCCTTCCTTCCTTCCTTCCTTCCTTCCTTCCTTCCTTCCTTCCTTTCCCCTTCAATCTCCTTCCTTCTGCATCTCCTGCAATCTTCCTTCCCTCCTTCCTTCCTTACTTCCTTCCTTTCTTCCTTCCTTCCCCCTTCAATCTCCTTCCTTTCCCCTTCAATCTTCCTTCCTTCTCCATCTCCATCCTTCTCCTTCAATCTCTCTCTCCTCCCTTCCTTCCTTTCCCCTTCAATCTTCCTTCCATCTCCATCCCTTCCCCTTCAATCTCTGTCTCCTTCCTTCCTTCCTTCCTTTCCCCTTCAATCTCCTTCCTTCTCCATCTCCTTCCTTTTCTCTTCAATCTTCCTTCCTTCCTTTCCCCTTCAATCTCCTTCCTTTCCCCTCCAATCTTCCTTTCTTCCTTCCATCCTCATCCCTTCCCCTTCAATCTCTCTCTCCTTCCTTCCTTTCCCCTTCAACCTTCCTTCCTTCTCCTTCTCCATCTCCATCCCTTCCCCTTCAATCTCTCCCTTCCTTCCTTCCTCCCCCTTCAATCCTTCTCCATCTCCTTCCTTTTCTCTTCAATCTTCCTTCTTTCCTTCCATCTCCATCTCCATCCCTTCCCCTTCAATCTCTCCTTCCTTCCCCCTTCAATCTACTTCCTTCTCCATCTCCTTCCTTTTCCCTGCAATCTTCCTTCCTTCCTTCCTTCCTTCCTTCCTTCCTTCCTTCCTTCCTTCCTTCCTTCCTTCCTTCCTTTCCCCTTCAATCTCCTTCCTTTCCCCTCCAATCTTCCTTCCTTCCTTCCATCTCCATCCCTTCCCCTTCAATCTCTCTTTCCTTCCTTCCTTCCTTCCTTTCCCCTTCAATCTCCTTCCTTCTCCATCTCCTTCCTTTCACCTTCAATCTTCCTTTCTTCCCCTTCCCTCCCTCCCAACATTTTTGAGCAAGGAAGAGTAAGCTTCTCCAGCGAGCATTGCTACCGTATTTTCCGGCGTATAAGATGACTTTCTAAACCATGAAAATCTTCTCAAAAGTTGGGGGTCGTCTTATACGCCCAGTCGTCCTATACGCCGGAAAATACGGTACTCCCAAATATTTAACCTTTCTCACTATTTCATAACTCAAGCTCAAAATTTGAGACAAAATTTTTATAAAATGTCTTATAGGTGGCATTTGGATCCCCAAAAATTGTCTTGTATGTATCCTAACTTGCAGCCCAAATGTTGGAGATGTGGTAGTTTGGATGCAACTTATTTTCATATTTGGTGGACTTGTAGAAATGTAAAAGCTTTTTGGATTAAAATTTGGTGGATCATTCAGAATATTTTTAAAAGAAAGCTAAAGTTTACTCCTCAATTATTTTTGTTGGATATTATTGTAGATTTTGATGTTAAGGAAACTAATTTGATGTTGAATTTAATAACAGCAGCAAGGCTGTTGGTAGGGCAATATTGGAAGAAGGATTGTTTGCCTACTATAGAAGAAAGGACACTTAAAGTGTCAAATTTAGCAGAAATGGCTAAGATTTCTGCTTATTTGAAGAATTATTCACAAGAAAGATACGGTACTCCCAAATATTTAACCTTTCTCACTATTTCATAACTCAAGCTCAAAATTTGAGACAAAATTTTTATAAAATGTCTTATAGGTGGCATTTGGATCCCCAAAAATTGTCTTGTATGTATCCTAACTTGCAGCCCAAATGTTGGAGATGTGGTAGTTTGGATGCAACTTATTTTCATATTTGGTGGACTTGTAGAAATGTAAAAGCTTTTTGGATTAAAATTTGGTGGATCATTCAGAATATTTTTAAAAGAAAGCTAAAGTTTACTCCTCAATTATTTTTGTTGGATATTATTGTAGATTTTGATGTTAAGGAAACTAATTTGATGTTGAATTTAATAACAGCAGCAAGGCTGTTGGTAGGGCAATATTGGAAGAAGGATTGTTTGCCTACTATAGAAGAAAGGACACTTAAAGTGTCAAATTTAGCAGAAATGGCTAAGATTTCTGCTTATTTGAAGAATTATTCACAAGAAAGATACATTTCGGTTTGGAGAAGATGGATAGATTATATTCAGAATAAATATGGGACTAAAAAGTTCCATTTATTTTATGAATAAATTATTGAATATTATTATTGTTGTTATTAATAGTTTAGTGTAGTGGAATTTTTATTATATTGTATTGTTTATAAATTGGGATTTTAATTTGATTATACAATAAAGTTTATTTGTAATTTTTTTATTCTGTGTTAAAAGAGAGTTAAAGTGCATTATATTTGTTTATCTACATACTTGGTTAATGTTAGTTAGATTATGATTATTATATTTATTACCCTGTATTCAGCTCTGGGAAGTGGGTAGGGGGGTTGGGGGGTAGGGTGGGTGGGTTTGGGGTATATTTTGTAATTTTTGTAAAACTTTTCAATAAAAAAAACCTAATTTACAGTGAAAATAAACAATAGTTCTCTATAGTGAGGGATCTGGAACTTTGGAACTACATTTATAGGTTATTTATTCCTGCAGTATTAGTTTTGTTACAAATTGGCTTTGCTTGGAGATGGCATTACTAATAAAATCTATTATGGTATCATTCAATGATACAGTATTGATTAGAGGCAATCCGATACATTTATTTGTTCACCAAGATACAGTTTTTTCAATTTAATTGTAACTTCCATGAGTATTTTCTTCCATTATTCCTATTATTTTTACAAATGAAAGTAATTTTTATTTTATTCTTTATGTAAAATAGCAATCATATATTTTGATTTCTGTTGTAGGATTTCCTTATGGAAACATTCATCATGTTCAAAAATCTTATTGGGAAAAATGTCTATCCTTCTGACTGGGTTATAATGAATATGATGCAGAATAAGTAAGTACAAAAGAAAATCAATAAATTTTCTTAGATATTATTATTTTGTTACATGCATCATTAAATCTTTGACTTTACCCAATTACATCATCATCATTCTTTCTCACCCACAGGAAAGCTTTTTCTTCTGGTTAAACTAAATATTTTGTTATCCAGAATTATAAAGGAGATTTTTAATAATGACTAATAAAATTGCCAGTGATCTTATTCAGACATGGCAATATAGCATCACTGATTTTGCTCCTTGCCTCTTGTTTCAATTAGTAAACTTTGAATTGGTAAACCATTGCTTAAGTCAGGGATCCTCAACTTCTGGGCTGCAGCCCGATAGTGGGCATGAACTATTCGTAATTGGGCTGTGGAAATAGGTGAGTGCACGCATGCACATCCCCACTTGCATGAGCAGCAAGCGAGCATGTGCATGCATACTCCATTTGTGTGAGGAGCAGACACACATGTATACTGCTCGTGGAATTGGAGCTGCACATGCAGGCTTGCTGGCTGCTCGCGTGGAACCATCCCCTACCGATCCGCAAAGAAGAAAAGGGTGGGAAACTCTGGTTTAAGTAATTGTTTAGGCCAGCCTGAAGAAGAGAACGCTTTCTCCTGGCTAGCAGATCAGTGCACAGAAATAAGTTGCCTATTTCTTGACTTAATGAACTTTCTGTTGTAATTACAACCTATAATGTTCATTAAGTATTCTTCCTTTTATAATAATTCCAACAGAAATAGAAAAGTTCCTTGAAAAATCTTTTAGAGTAAGTTCATACATAAAAAAGTTTTTCAATTCATCAGTAGTAGAAATGATTTTTTTACTACTATTCTTCTATCGTTTGTCCATATTATATTTAATATTATATTATATTGTCCCTTTAAATTATATTTCCCAGCAATAAGCAGCTCTCTTCATCAGATGCACTGCAGCTTACATTCTAATGAAATTGTGGTACCACATTTAGTGCCTATTTTGTGGCCATAGATTAACACCATGTTCCCATCAAATAATCAGCATGTTTAATCAAAATATGCTTTTGCAGGTAGACTGATAAAAATAGCTTCCTTTGAAATACCCATTAAGGTCCTGCGTATTCTGTATGTATCTGAGCAATGGAAATAATCATACTGGTCTAACTGTGTGACTGTAGGATGATCTTCCTTAAGCCATTCCTTGCACAGAAGTCTAAGCAGCTTTTCATTTTCATTTTTTTTATTAAGGGTTTAAATCTAACTTCAAATCATTTCTGCAGTAGGGAAACTTCAGTAAAGAGCTTTTTTTTTTTTAAAAAAAAAAAAAACACCACTCTAGTATTCAGCTATACTTGTGTCAAGATCTGAATTATTATGTTCTGGCAGAAAATATCTTTTGAAATAATATTTCCTCTAACATTAATTTTTGTGTCTATAGATTGTAATTAAAATTAAGGCATGGGTCTTTAAACTGTACATTCAGTTGCTATTGACAGACTTCTCTTTAAAAATGGCTTTCTCAGAAACTTAGTTCATATGATTTACAACAAACAATCAGCTTTAAATTTGTGCATGATAGTTTATTTTAAAGTGGGTTCTTTGCATCATCTGATTCTCCAATCCTATTAAAATTGTTGACATTTAATTCATGAAATGTACTGTTTGCAATTTGATATGGGTTAGGCATAAGAGAATCTTATTTTGCTGGTATCTCTGCCAAGTTAAAAATACAAATAACTAGGGAAGGTTTTCATACTCTTGGTCATCCTACATCAGTTTATAGAGAAAGTAACAATATATGTTATTCATTGTTTCTTGGATTTTTTGAGGGGAGTTGTTGCAATTTTTTTTGAAAGAACAGAGATGCACACAGAGTAAAATCTTTGAGATGTGTGCATATTGCCTGGCACGCAAGTGTGCATTACAGTTTCCGTTCTCAGTTATGTTCCCATGGTTCTTTGAAAAAGATTCTGACTGTCCAGAATTTATTTTGTTTTTAACAATAATGAGGAGCAGTTTTGGATCTGGACAGGAAATCTTTTCAATTCTTTATTAGCTCAAGTAGAATGAGTAATATGATGTGCTTCTTTCCCCCAAATGCTGCTAACAATGCCTCTTAATTGTACATTATTTACTAATTAGTTCTCCAGAAATAGAAATAATTTTAGGTTTCTTTGAAAGAGAATTTGATATTTTAAATATTCTCTCATTTATTCTCTGACGTGTCTATGAAATGATAATATCCTAAAGTTTTCATTTAGAAACAATCATTTTAAAAAACCCACAGTAATGTATATTTCAGAAAGTCAGCGATGTTTTACTATTTTTTTAAAAAAAGTCTTTTGGACTGGAAAGTAGCATTCTGATTGAATAGTGTAAGGATTTGAACAATAACAGAAAATGGAAGAAGAGAATAGTGCAAGTAGATAGCCTTAATGATGGTTTTGGATTATAACTCATAAAATTTGTGACATTGATTGATTTAAAACATTTATATAGCCACCCATGCTATATTGAATTCTGGGTGGCTATATAAATTATAGTATATTTAATATCCTGTGCTATTATAATATTAAATATACTATTATAAAAAGATAAATATGTCCTTAAGTCAAGATTCCCAGTGACTACATGGAAAAAAACATCTAATTTCAGGAAGAGCAATCCAGTATCGTTTTGTCATTGCCCTTCCAGGAAGTATTTCAGATTCCCAATCTAACCTATATTTCTGATATTCTTTTGTAGTATTCTTTTTTTTTTTTTACTTTCAAGTTTGGCCTAGCTTCCAAGCTTAGATGAGATCAGCTAGATGCTGCCACCTGCTGAGACATAAAGGTGGAATAATTTTTAATCTTGCAATGAAGTAGCTTCATTAGTACTTGCAGCACATACAGCATGCGGGTTAGATTATGCTTTCTCTCCACATGAATTTGATAAATACAATGCTTGCAGATCTAATTAGCATCATCTGGCTTAACCATTGTATTCGTGAGGGATATAATTTCTAGGATAGAACTGAATTTTTCTGGCTTTTTTTTCACTGGTTAATTGTAATCACTGTAGTACAAAAATCAAACCACATATCATCACTGAAAGGAGCAGTCTCTGCCAGTATACTGTTAGGTAAAGTCCCCTGCGTAATTATTTTGAGTATTTTGTCCTCAGAGATACTATACTCCAAGATTCTTTTCTACATTTTAATTTTCTAAACTTAATTCTCAGTCTAGCTCTTTCTGGAGTTTGGGAGAATCTGTTGAAGATTTTTGCCAATCCAATTAAACTTTATTCTCATGGCCCCTATTAAATGCTATTTGCTTTCAAAAATAAAAAAGTTGTATTCCTGTGTTTGACGTCCATCATATTTATTCTTTGGGAGAAGGGAGTAAGGCAAAAATACTGCTTTTGGCAGCCTTCAAAATATATTAAGAAAACTAATGTTTTCTAAAGATGTAACGAATAGTGAATTTTAAGAAATCTTGAGTTCAAAAATATTTTTATGTAAGTTTTTTTCATGTATTATAACTATGCTATCTTTCTAGAGAGAGTTGCCCCTTCAATGATATAAAAAATGAATGGTTATTTTAGTACAGCAATTTGATGGCCACATGACTTGAGTGGTTTTGTCAGCTACAGCTATTACAGTGCTGTTTTCAGTGGTTGACAATTGTCATCATGCTCTGATAATCTCCTGCCTGAATTACAATAATGCTTCGTATTACTTATTGTTTTGTTTTGTTTTGCTTTGCTTTATTTATATATGCTCTATCTGAGCACTTTTTGAGGGATTATCATTAAATATCACCCAGAAGCTTCATCTAACATAAAATGTGGCTACTGTGGAATAGTGCAGAACAGACTTTGCAGTCCAGATTTTTGAAATTCAAGCACTTCACTGATGCTCCGTTCCTTACTGTATATGGTCTGATTGATAGATTCCGATTGCAGGTACCAGCAGTGCATGTGCAAAAAAATAGGAGATGGAGGACATTTATTAATTACCACCTTGCATGAGTTATTATTGTGCTGAACTTTTTTTTCTTAGAAGGACATTCTAAAATTAAAGATGCTGTCCTTTCAATCTCAGAAATTCTGTGGATCAGCTCTCCACACTTTCTAAACTTTACGGCTTATTTCAGTTGTTTTATGATCTGGCTTTGATGGTGTCTTATCACTATGGCCTCGTTTCCTTTTACCGCTGACTATTTGAAGCATAACAATCTTCTCTGGTGAGTTTGAGTGCATGATATGGCTGAAATAAGTCGGGTAGAATTTTGTGATTTGGTCTTCCAGCAATGTTTTGTTCTATACACTCCAGTACTTACTTGTTTGTCACCTTTACTGTCCAAGAAATGCACAAGAGCCTTCTCTAATACCACAGTTTAAACAAGCTGATTTTCCTCCTATCTAATTTCTTCATGGTCTAACTTTTGCAGTCATAGGTAGCTATGGGTAACACCATAGTGTGGATTAATCTGCTTTTAGTTGCCAAACTGATGTCTTTGCTTTTTCATACTCTATTCATGTTCATCATTGCTGTGCAACCCAGTGCATTTTGATGCTTTATTTCTAGACTTCTTTAGCTGCTTGATCAATCTGCAATTCTAAGAAAGTGAATTCTTGCACAATCAATTTCTTCACCCTCAATTGGTGTTTTTATATTTACATTCCTCAAAATGGTCATAAGCTTGGTCTTTCTGATGTTCAGGAAGAAGCCAAGTTTCTTACTTTCTTCTTTAATCCTTTTGATCAGATGGTTTATACTTTCATTGATAGGTTGAATAAGAAGGGTGGAAAAAATTCAACCTTGTCACACTTCTTTCTCTATCTTGATAATATAAACATATGGAGCCTTATTATTTGGTAGTTACCGTGTTTTCCTGAAAGTAAGGCCTACCCAAAATAAGCCTTAGCTTAATTTTTTTGGGGGGGGTGAGGCTAATATAAGCCCTACCCCCAAAATAAGCCTAGTTTGGGGGCAAGGCACATACTTAAAAATCAGCTAGGGTGGGAGGTAGAACTGCCCCACACACCCT